AGAGATTTTTTCTAAACTTCATGCTTATGCATGAAGTTTAGCATGAAAATCTCTCTATCCAAAAATATTTAATGAACAGAGAGATTTCATGAGTAATAACGGAATTTCTCATTGCAGGCATTTTTTATAACTTATTGAGCTTGATATCATATGCATAAATACAATAATGATGTCATACGCGTTACTAACAAGTACAAAAACGATATTTGAAAAACTACATTTTTCTCCTATACTCGTGTTATTAAACATATTTCCCTCTAAGAAAACTATTCTATTTGTCTGTTCTTTTTGAGAATAGTATAATTCATATCAATTGTTCCCGCTGAGAATAAAATTGATATAATAAAACGGTATTGGATTTCATCTTGGTCATTACAAAACATCAAAAACTTTTACCTAAATTTAAACATCTGAATGTAGTATAAAATTTTCGTAAATTGATTTAGATTATTTTCAGCTTAAGAAATCTTTCTTCTCTCGACCAAATTCAAATGTAGAATTGGTAAGGGAAATTCTAAATATGCTTTTATTACTCCGTATTTAATTTTCACAAATAAATTGATGGTGCATGTTTATTTTATTCGGCACCTATGTAATTTAAACTTGAGATATGAAGCGTGTGGTAATTTAAATTCTTTTTTAATTTTTTCTGACGAAATTATACCAGTAATTCCTTTTTGACATTTGTTTGATACATTCGTCATACATTTGCTTTATTTATAATGTTTAATAATATCTGTTTTCGGGCAATTTATGTTAGAAAAATCCTCCCAATTGGTTTTCATTACTTTAAACTCCAATAAAATTAAATTTAAAAAAAAAATTAATAATAAAAACTGACAAATGTATAGTTTTAAATTACTGATTCGGAACCTGGAATTACGATTTTTATTGCTTTAGGGTTTTGAGGAATTCTGATTTCATAGAAGTTCATTTATTTTCTGCCTTTTTTGAAAGATATTATGCTGCCGAATAATGTTATAGCATATACGCAAAAGCATAAAAAAAAATTTAAATCGAAAATCTATAAAAAAAAATTATCATTTTAAAAGTTTTAAGAGATAATTTAATATTTTTTTTCTATTTTCATCGAGAATGAATCACGGAAAGAACGACACAACTATAAAAATTCATAAACTTAACAGTAAATTAAATCGAGCCGTTGAACCCGAATTTAATGTAATCAAATAGTTAATCAAAGTTAGTTTATTTAAGTTAGTTAGATAGTTTATTTAGATAGTTTATTATATAATTAGTTAGATAGTTCATTTAAAAATTAATAAACATTCAAGGACTAATTTGACGTTTAAGTATAGGAGCTTTTCATATTTTATGTTTTTAAGCTTAAATCTTAGAAGTAAAATTTATCATTCATCAATTAACAATAATCTCTCAATGAATTAATGCAAAATTTCAGAAAATTATTGAAGTGTTTTAATTAAATGCAATTTTTTTTCACAAAATGCTTTGTTAAAAAGTATTATTTGTATATGCATAGCAAAACATCAAATCTTTGAAAAAATAGTTAATCCAATTCAGTTAGATAGTTTATTTAAAAATTAATAAACATTCAAGGACTAATTTGACGTTTAAGTGTAGGAGCTTTTCATATTTTATGTTGTTAAGTTTAAATCTTAGAAGTAAAATTTATCATTCATCAATTAACAATAATCTCTCAATGGATTAATCTTGTAATGCATTAATGTTCAGAAAATTATTGAAGTATTTTATTTCAATGTAATTTTTTTTACAAAATACTTCGTTAAAAAGTATTATTTGTCTATGCATCGTAAAACATTAAATGTAATTATTGGAATCTAAAAAGAAATTGAGTATTTTAGGTTTCTTAAATTCTAATCATTTAGTAAAAAGAGTAAAGTGTAAAAAATTCAGTTTCATGAAAATCCTTGCATAGTAAGTATTTTTTGTTGCTGGTTTAGTCGGCTATTAAGACAGGGAGGTGCGATTATTCTTATTTTCTAGTAGTCCAAAAATTCGACTTCTGCCACACCCATACGTCACTCCCGTTTGAAAGGGGGGACCCATTCATATATACATTCATTCATTCACAGATTGTAATTTTGACCTGAACCAGAGAACGATCACTCTCCGATTCAGTACACCCAGAGATATTGATTTGTTATGGGAACATGGAGGACTTTGTGACCTGGCAGATTTAACGTGCACTAATCATCACTACACGGGGAGTCTTCGGCCGGCTAGATTCGAACTCCAGAGCTCACATGCGTGTGCTCAGCCCCCTGCCAATCAATCTATCCCGGTCTAAAAAAATTTTTCTTTAAATATTTGAGTACATTTTAATAAATATTTAGTTACGTTAAATTTGTGCTCAGTGTCTCGTACTTCGAATCAATCGATAAATTCCTGCAATTATTTAAGGGATGCTTTTTTTTTTCAGCCCTCTTTTTTTTAAATTTTTTTTGGAGTTCATATTTCGTTGTATTTTAAGTGCTTTTAATTTTTTCTTTTACCTTTAAAAATAGAACAAATCTTTCAAAAGAAACTTGAATTCCATCTTGAAAATCATCAAAAAACACTAAAACAATTTAAATTTAAATAGAGCCTTATTAAAATTGCATATTTAAAGAATTACTGTAATTCTAAATAATATGGAATAATTTCATTCCATTCTTCAACAGAAATCCTTTTTCAACGAAATCGGTCTTAATAGAGAATCCGAAAACATTTAATTGTATTCGTATTGCTTATTTTTTCTTTCTTCCAAAATTTCTAAAAATAATCTGAGACAATTTATAAATTTAACACCTTGATTAAAAAATAACCTTTAAAAATAGAATAAATCTTTTAAAAGGAACTAGAATTTCATCTGGAAAATCATCAAAAAGCACACAAACGATTTTAAACTAAAAGATCCTCGTTAAAATTAAATATTTAAAGAATTACTGTAACTCTGAATAATATGGAATAATTCTATTCTATTCTTCGAGAACAGAAGTTCTTTTTCAACGAAATCGGTCTTTATAGAGTTGCTGAAAAAATATAATTGTATTCGGCTGCCTGATGAAGAGCTCATTTTTTCTTTCCTCAAAAATCTCTAAAAATAAATTGAGACAATTTGTAAATTTAACACCTTGATTAAAAGAGAGATTTAAAACAAATAACTTATAACTTAAGTTATTTTCTTGGCATATTGTTTCGTTATCACGTGGTTATTTCTTATGCTACAAAAACTAATGCTGATAAACTATTTTTGTAAAGTTGCCAGCTTTGTCCTGTCGTCTAACAAAATGCATCAACAGCGCATTCATTCGTTAAATTAGTTAAGATGTTTAGAATGGGGAAGTAAGATTTAGTTTAATTGTTCTAAACATAAATAGTTCTTTTAAGTGAAAAACTACGTCGCCTCGACTCCATAGGCTATTAATTTCTTTTTGATTTATTAGGAAAAGAATATGCATTTATTATTTTTTGTAAATAAGAATAATTTAAGTAGCCGTTTCAATGCAAGAGAAATTGATCTAATTTCTAAATACGATTTCAAAATCCCGTCATACTAAGCTTTCATAGCTAACTGAACACTGAATAATAAAATTAATAAATATTTATTTCTTAAATTTATTATTAATTAATTATATTAAAAAAATTATTATTCTTTAGAAATTATTTATTTTTTAGAAATTATAAATTTTTTAATATTAATTAATAATATTAAATTTTTTTTTAAAAAAAATTCCAGTAAAAAAATAATGCAAAAATTTTAAAAAAATTTAAAAAATATTTTTTAGATACTTAATTTAACTGTGTCTACTTATGAATACATCAAACACAATTGAGAAATTCTGTTTGACCTTAATTGGAATTTAAATTGCGAAATTAAAAAAATTAATTAATTAAGAATCATAAGAAATACATTTTCCTAAATAATTTCATCTTTTATGCAATAGTAGTTATTGTAGTATATTTCCTTATAAAGTAGAATAGTAGATCAGGTAGAACATTTCTCATTACAGCGCATAGAATAAGCTGTCTCAAACTTAGAATAGCATTTCGTGAAACACCTACTCGACAAATTTTTTCAATATATATTCAATTTATATTAAAAGTTAGCGTTATGAAACTAACTAATAATTTTTTTTTTTGTACTTTTGATATTTTTAAAAATTACTTTTACAGCTATTATAGTTTTTAATTTAATATATAATACGTTTCAATTCTAATGAATGCGAAGAATTTTTTTTTTTATTTAAAAAAAAAAAGAATTTTGAAACATTTCGTTTTTTATACGCTTTCAATTTGTTGAATACAAGGGGCCTTTTCTTTTTTTAAAAAAAAAAGAAAAATGAAGAAAAGAAATAATCGTGTAAAAAAATACAAAAAAAAAAGGAAAAAAAATGACACTTAACTTTAGTAAATGCTTTTATTTACTATATGATCAGTTGTGCTTTTTTTATTATTTATGAAAGCTAAAAAATTATCTATTAGAGTAACACTTTAGATTTATTCATTCATAGAAATATTATGTAAATTTTTTGATAAAGGAGATATTTAAAAAAAAAATATTTTGGCAAAACTAGAAGCTAGACTTTTATTTAAATACCTCAACAGTTTAGCAAATTTACATCAAGATTATTGAAAAGGATATTTGCTTAAGTAAGAAGGAAGGTATTTATTTTATTTTTCTCATTACCACAATAAAGAAGTTCCGAAATATTTAGTTTCCGATCTAGAGTATGAAAAATAAAGAATTGAATGGTTAAATAAATATTATCTTACACCGAATCTTTACCACCCTACACTTTAAGAAAAGGCGCAAAAAGGAGCGAAAAAAAAATTAGATAAACAGAAACTTATCTTACGTCCAGGAATCCATGAGAGCGGCTAGTTCTTCAACTGCGTTGAAGCGATGATGGGCGGGGCATCTCACTCGTTTGATTGGCAGCGTCGTCATGACAACGCCCCCCTGTGCCTTCGCTACCGTCAGCCAATAAACGGCCAGAAAATCCCTTCCCACAACAAAACTAAAGCTCTGATAGTAAATGATAACATCAATTTGAATCAGCTGGCTGCAAGAATCAACCGCACGGACCAGCATCGTGGTAGAAAGGAAAAAACTTCCTCAGTCCGGAGTGAAGTTATTGCGGATTCCGGTTAGGCGACTTTTTATTTGTTGAAAGAACTAAATATTTGCTCTCAGAAGCAATTTTGTTTTTGATCGATGACATCTGCAACTTCGACGATAATTTTAGTTCCATAATGAATTATAAAAAATATAAGCTTTGAATCTTAGCAAGATTTTTTTTCGTTTGTGATCTGTTTTCGAACTAGAAATGGAAGTTTCTTGGAATAAAGAATTAATTTTCAAAGTGGAATAACTGAACTGTTAGTAACTGAAGTACAAACGCTGACTATTAAAAGCTTTCTGCAATGACAAACGAAAAATTTGCTATCAATGTGGACTAATTAACTTACAGTCATCAAGCTGGCTTCACGTTTCCTTCTGCGTCCAGTCTGCGGATTGCAGGATAGAGACTGGGAGCGACTCAATTACTGTCACCACCACGCTCTTGGGCCTCCAACCGGCCCTGGACACCTAGTTGACTCTTGCGGAGACGGCAAACCATCTGACCTGATGATTGTCAGTCATATGGCCGACTCAGCGTCGGCCCTGGCCGCTGCGTCTCAGTTACCAACCATGGCAGGAATGATCCCCACTCCCACGGCGTGTTCGACAGCTGTAAACCCATCAAGTCCAAGTACTATGTTGCCATCTTTTGGATTCACACAAGAACAAGTGGCTTGTGTCTGTGAAGTTCTTCAACAGTCTGGAAATATTGAAAGGTTGGGACGATTTCTGTGGTCCTTGCCAGCTTGTGAGCATCTCCAGAAGAATGAAAGTGTCCTGAAAGCAAAAGCCCTGGTGGCCTTTCACCGAGGGAACTTTAAGGAGCTCTACAGGATTCTGGAAAGTCACAATTTCTCACCGGCTTCCCATCCCAAATTGCAAGCTCTTTGGCTGAAGGCTCATTACATTGAAGCCGAGAGACTAAGGGGTAGGCCTCTTGGGGCAGTAGGAAAATATCGAATTCGAAGAAAATTTCCACTTCCCAGGACAATATGGGATGGCGAAGAGACTAGTTATTGTTTCAAAGAGAAATCCCGGAACATTTTGAGGGAATGGTATGCTCATAATCCATACCCGTCACCTCGGGAAAAACGGGAGCTGGCTGAGGCCACTGGACTGACCACAACTCAAGTTAGCAATTGGTTCAAAAATCGGAGGCAACGGGACAGGGCAGCTGAAGCCAAAGACAGGTTAGTTTCTTTACATATTTTGTAACACAATTATTGGTATTATTACGCTAACTACGAGCGTCCGTTGCAAATTAATTTGGAATGGGCGTGTTTGGAGGCATTTTAGTTGTCTTACAGAGCTTCCTTTAAACACCACTTTTTTGAGATTGCTTGAATTTAAATGTTTAAAAATATTTAACAAACGTGATGTTTGATAGTAAAGTTATGTTGTCCAAGATAAAGTAAACTGATTTAATATTATTTCTGAACACTTACTTCTGATTTCGAAAGTATATTTTATCGTAGTCAATTGCTACATTTTTAGTTAAGTTTAAATATTAGTGAGTATTTCTGATTATATTTGGCAATAACTAAATTAATTTTTACATTTGTGAGACTTATAAGTTTAATGCTGAAATTACTTGCTAATTTGATTGTTTCGGTTAAAAAATCGCGGAAAAATATTATTTTCTATCCAATTAACTTATATGAGCAGTGCTTTATGTTTGCTCCGCTTTTTTTATCAAACGTTAAATTTTTCTTCCTGTAAAAACTAATGTGTCTGTAATTAAAGAAGTTATTTATTTTGGGGATCAACAATCAAGAAGTAAATAAATAAATATAAATTAACATCGACTAGTGATATTTAGCATATGCTTCACAAGGTTGATTGTATCACTTTCAATAAGTTATAGTACATTTCTCAAAGATATTTCTTTTAATTACTAAGAAAAAGTGTTTATACTGCTATTATCAATAATATTTTCAAATTAAAAAACAAAACTATTAAACTTTAAAGCACAAAATCTTTTGAATACATTTAGAATTGGTACAACACCTCAGATTATTTTAATATGCTTGAACTATTGTCAATTCAACACACTTCTTATTATTCTAACCATCATGTAAACTAATGTTAACTCATTAAATAAAATGAATGTTTCTTATATTTATGTGTTATGATAGAATTAAAGGTTTCGGAGTATTAAAAATTAATTTTTGATATTTATTTCAGTCGAAATTAAATGCATTAAAAATTATCTAGTTTATGTGATGTTACATTAAATGAAATTATTATTTATAATTTAATATCAAACTGCATACTAAATATTAAAAAAATTGAATTTTGTATTTTTAACTGAATATTTTTGATAAATGAAAGAATTCTTTATTATTTTCTTTATTATATTCATAACTACTCATTGAAATTTTTACGTTTATTATTATTTCCTGATAACTTTTACCTTTTATTTTAAGTTTAAAGAGAACGTTCTGTAATTAATTGTTTTTAATTTATTTTTTGCCCATTAAAACGTAATTTAATTAATATGTATTTATTGAATTTTCCCAGTTTAAAAATGGATTAGAAATGAAAAATGATCAATAATTTTGAGCCATATTCTTAGCTTAAATAAATCTGTTGACTTTTTAAAAGAATTGTCTTAGTTATAAACGAAATATGTTGTTTAAAATTGTGAACACATATTAAAATGAAACATCAAGTTTACTGATGAAAAAGGAAATAAATTTTATATGAATAAAAAATTCATTAAACTTTTATTCTAGATGTCAGTTCCCTCTTTTTTTCTCTCGCAATATTGCTAAATTTATAACTTCTTTGAAATTGATCATACATTGTATAACGGTTTATCTTTTTCAATTATGATATAAATATATCACCTTTTAAATTTTGTTTCCGATCCTTAATTACAACCTTTTTTGATTTTAAAATTCTATGTAATCATTCAGCACCATATTTATTTGTACCATTCTTACATTCAATACACCACTACGACCAGAATATAAACATATTCTTTACTTATTTTTGAACTTACATATTTTTTTTTTTTAATAAAATGCATGGAATCAAAATTATAATGTTTCATATTCTTTGTCCATTAACATTGGAAATATTATTTTTAAATGAATTTTTTGCTGTTTATATTCGAAATTTCTTTCTTTTTTTGGTATTAGTAATAATAGTTTAAAGTGATGATATATTTATCTTAATATAGAAACTTAACAAATTATTGTTTCATTTCATGTGGGTGAATAAATTTATTATTATACTTTGTTTTAGTGAACATTAAATTGCGAACTCTTAATACCTCGCTTTTAACAACTCAGGAAAGAATTTTTAAAAGATATAATTAATTGGTTTATAATTTGATGTATTTTTTATTAATTTTCACATTTACTAATTATTATTGTTTCTCTAAATAACGCAAATTTTTTTTATTAATTTTAATTTTGAAAGCTTTATAAGAGTTCAATAATACTCTATAAAAACAAAATACTTTTTAAGTAACTTATTTTTACTTTCATTCATGAAAAATATGTTCTAAAAAATATTAACGATATAAATGCAGGCTAAAGTAGGTAATAATAAATATTGTATTTAGTGATAGTAATAATTAATTAATATTGTAGTTATTACTAAAAAAGATTTTTAATCCGTAAAGAACTTTTTTTTTGTAGTTTCAATGCAAGTTAAATTTAAGATAAGATTGAAATATAAAATCTTACATGTTTTTTAAAACTTATTTTACCAGAAGTTATGGGCATAATTCTATTAAAAATTTACTTATTTTATGCGAGTAATTTTGTTATTAAACAAAAATCATTATTTTATAGCAATTTTCTAGTTTTATCAGATATTGAAAAAATTTCTTAACGTAAAATATTAGATTCCTTACAAAATATCGTCTATCATTATTTTGATGCTTAATTATAAGTTTTGAATATACTTAAGGTAGCAAATATCACAATTGTTTTGTTAATTATTATTTTTTCATTTACTTTTTTTTGTACTAAAACTTATAACAATACTTATAATACGTATAATGTTTATCACTTTGATTAGTTTTTAACTCGTTTATTGAAGAGATAATATACGCGGAGAAAAAAAATTTATTTATGGTAATGATATATCTGGTAAAAGAAAATAATTTTGACAAATAAAATCAAAACATACGCTATTTAAACCATTCGTTTCGTAATTTTCCTATTTATATGGTAAAGGATAATCAGAAATTCTGGTTTTCAAAATTATAGTGTTTACTTAATACATATTTAGTAAAAAATGCAAAATTGAAAAGAAAATTCAACCGTATAAATGGTTTTATGCCCTTCTCTAAGGAAGGTATTATGATAAAATTATCGACTTTTACCACATTTAAAAATTTGTATCACATATTATAGTAATCATATTTTGTTATTGTTTTCATTATAATCAATTCCAAACTTAAATATAAAAACAGCAAGATTTTACTTCGCGACATTTTTCAAATTTCTCAATGTAAAATATCTCTGTTTTTATATTCAGCTGTAAATTTTGAATATGCTTCAGTTAGAAAATATTACAGTTGTTTTGTTTATTAAATTTTTTAATTTATTTAACTTTTGGTTTTTTATATGAATACTTTAGTATAAAAACGAATATGCATCTCTTTGATGAGTTTTTAATTCGTTTATTAGAGAGAAAATATAAAAAAATATTCGGACTGCTAAATTTTCGTAACATTTGTCTTCATTATCGATACATTTTTTTTTATGAAACTTTTTCAGACACATATTTACATGTCATAGGTGAAAATTAAAAGTTTTAATAAATTTATGCAATAATAAGCCGTCAACAACTAACTTCAAGAGCAATTTAGTTAAAAAAAATTTAAATTAGTAACTTTTTTCGTAATTAAATAATGTTATTTTTAACGAAGAATTTGAATCTTGATAATAAAGTTATATATAGCTTCAAGATGTGGTATCATTTTGAAATTGTATGGAGCAGTTGCAAGATATGGTACATTTCAAATGTGAAGATTTAGTGACTGTGTACGTTAACTAATTATAAATCATATAAATTTGGTGCAAAAATGGGTGCAACTTTGAACTATAATATTACTGCATTGAATCATATCGATCGTAAAAACTTGTTACAACTTAAATAAGTACTAAAATAAACGGCGTTTTCGTTCAAACTGAGCCAAAATATCATGTAATCAAATTTAAGAAGTATGACAATGTGTTACAACTTTGCATTGTATTAAAATTGTAGAGATTGAACTATATATTATCGTTTAACATTCTCCAAACTTTATAATAATAAAATATAGTTACTTATTAATTATTTTCGATTTCTTAAAGAGAAAAAAGGGCTAGTATTTTTTATTTACTAAGTCTTATCTTATTTTCGTCCATCTAAAGATCTGTAAACATATTTTTTCCCCTAAGTTTACTGATTCTTAATTTTTTTTAAAAATTATTAATTAGATTATTGTAAAACGATAATTAATGGTTTAAAATATGTAATTTTGTAGCTCTTTTTAATAATTTTTTTTCAAACGTTTAATTATAGCTCAATTAAGAAATATTTAGAGTATTTTAGAAACTTTTCTCGAATCAGTATTTAAATGAATTAAAGTAGTGAATTTGAATACGAAGTTTATATGTTTTCAGTCCTACTGTTTTCTAGTATTGTTTCGCTACATTTTGATAACGTTTTTATTTCCTTCCCACTTACAACATTTATTTGCGTCGTCTAATGTATAAACTATTTATTTTCATATTTGATAAGACCTCTAAAGGTAAATAAGACCTCTAAAATTGATAAGACCTCTAAAAATAAGTCCTTATTGTGCACCCTGCATACACTAAAGTATAGCGTGTTAGGTTGTAAAGACTGCTGTCATTGTTATAATTGTTTATATGGGTTATAATTCCAAATTATAATGAAAAAAAAGTTCATGTGATTTAAGTGAACTCTTAATAACCGTTAAAAATTGGAGGTAAAAATTCGAAAAAGCTATTTGATAAACTATTCAAGTTGATCGGGAAGCAATTATCACAATTCATTTAAATTTTTATCGATGGATTAACTGTAGACTTTCTTGCGAAGCGATGTTAATTAACATATAGATGGGAATTAGTCATATAACTCTTTATAATCTTAATATTTCTTTGAGTTTACTTTGCTGCGGGAAAAAGGCACCAAATTTACGGAATATAGATGGTTTAATTAA